TTTTTTGCGTCTCGCCTCTTTGAAGGAAGAGTTGTTACCTCTCCACAGGACAGCTAATACCAGGGGGGGAAAAAACCCGGCAAAATAAAATAACAGTTGCGACAGTGTTGACTGCGTCTTCTCAAGTAAAGCAAGCAAATACTCCGACAGAAATGTTTGAAAGCAAAAGAGAGTATACAAGTGAGAAGTAAAAGTCAGTGCACGCGGTATTACAAGGCTATATTCAAGCTTTAAAAATGTAGTTGAAAACGTTGGCAGCTGGATCTGAGAATAGGCTTAGAGCTCTTGTTTAACTTCCTTCGAAGCGTACATCGTTTCCAGCGTTATGCTATGCTGCCACATATGAGCAGTGGAATCATTTCACAGAATGCATACGTGCAGAGTATGTGAAAGAAGAGCAGAGAGAACCGGATTATGAACCTGTAAAAATTCAGAAAATGTCTTTGTTTTCCTCCCTTTAGGATTCGGTGAATAGGAGCCGTTCGGAAAGCCCGTGTGAGCGGTTCCATGGTGTAATGGTTAGCACTCTGGACTCTGAATCCAGCGATCCGAGTTCAAATCTCGGTGGGACCTTGCGGTTTCCTTTTATTTTTTTTCCCCTGCTTTCTCGGGGGGAAATGATTTTTTTTTTTTTTCTCCGCTCTTTTTGCAGCTCGTTACCGCGGGAAGTGCGAGCCGGTTCTGCCGCGGTGCTTCAGCGGTGCCCGGCTTTCCGTCGAAGCGACGTTTTTGCCTGTTTAGTTTTTCGTGTTTGAACAAAAAAACCCAACCAAACAACCAAAAACAACAACAACAAAAAAAAAACAACAAAAAAACCCTAAAAAAGAATTCGTCGGGGAGTGAAGCTGGGAGAACGACGAAACTCGCTGCTGCAACTGTCCTGGGAGCTCTGCTCCTTCCCAGCGTGGCCGCGTTGCAGCGGTTTGGGTTGGGGCCGGTTCCCGCCGCGGGACTTGGCGGATTTGCAGAGGGCAAGAAACGCTGAGAGCCGGGAGCCAGGCCCGACACCCCCTGGGTGCCACCCCGTTGGGTGATGCTCCACCACCCGCCTTGTGCATGCCACCAGGTCAGGGACCGCAAGCGCCACCCCAGGGTGACATCACATCCTGACCCGAAAGAGAAAATAACCAGGTGGAGGGACCACTTCTTCCACCCTCGCCTCTCCCGCCGGGGGCGGGGGGCACCCGGGCACAGCCGCCGCGGGGTCCAGGCTCTCCCAGTCCCTCCCAGTGCTGCTGCCCCCAACCCCGAGCCAGGGGACCAGTGGAGGTGACC